CCCCCTTTTCACACACACACACACACACACATATATATATATATATATACACACACACAATTTGTCCGAGATGCAACCACGCATCCAGGCCAGTTTACGCCCGGGACGCACTCAAGAAGGATGAAACCAGCCACCTTCCCCGCCCCCCCCTCGCTTGAAGGGTCGATCTGCTGAAGTTGAAGACGATTTGCCCGGACCTCGGTAGCACACACCCACACACCTCTTAATTGGACCGTTCTGCCGGTTTGGATGGCTCTTGGATGTCGATCCGCGTTGCCAGCTGCCCTGTGCTCCCCCCTCCGAGACTCGCGTCTTCTTCACTTTTTCGCATTCATCCACACAACGAGGTGCCAGTCACTCGTCACCCGCCAGTTACAACCAAGCCTCCAGTCCACTGATGTCTCAATCGCCGGGTCGCCAGGACGATTGATCGATCGAAAAGACGCCAAACAAATGGGCACCAGCAATCACAAATTGAAGGAGTTATCCAAATGCTTTCTGAAGACAGTATCCTCAGTCGAGGGGATGTCTCTTCTAGGCCGGCTTTCATTATCTGGAAGTCAGTCTCCTTGATTGCATAGGAAACGTCTCAGTCGGGCACGACAAACTTAAGCCATAGAATTGCAAATTTAGTCAGAGTCAGCATCATATCAACAATAAAATTCCATAAAAATACATAAGACATTATAAAAAATGACATAAACTCCAGGCAATTTTAGTTGTTTGACGAAATAGTATTCAATAATAAATTAGCTGTTTGAAAACGGAATATTAATATTTCTCCCTTAATCCGAAAGATTATTATTCTTATATAAATTATAATGAAAAAAAATTAACTTATACATTAAAACTAGATATTTTAATAAACTAACAAAGATCCAAAGTTCAAATGCACTTTCATCAAAAATTTTACTCCTTATACTAAAATATAAATAATATTTTTCGAATATAGAATATACCTACCAACAGATAAATAATCCTCAAGCAGTAAAAAGTGTAGAAAAAACAACAATTCTTCATTTCTCATATAATAAAAGGAAAGATCAGAATTATGATCATCAGCATCAGCCGTAGCAGCAACAAGTGTTCAACCCATTACTTCAATTGACATGCCTAATGTGGATACTACTGATTTCCTAATCAGCGTCCACTTGCCATAAGTTCGAGGTGTACCATCCCAGATGTATAAGAGAGTTTTGCCTTTATACGCGTTCTTAAGCAAACTGCAGCATATGATGTCTGCACAGATTGATGGTGGTTTGGGCTTTTGATCTTCCTTAAAACATTGAGTCTTTAGCTTGGTTGTAGTAATTTTTTAAAGTAAAGAGATTGCTTGGCCGCAGTTCCGCAACATCTATAAAGTCTCATAGCAACTTCGATGTGCACCCCTTTACTACGTGCTCTGCCAGGTTTGCAATGTGTTTATTTGTCTCACGCTGGAGTAAAGCATAGTAACACGGGAGGAGGACCATGTATGGAATTTTTCTACAGATACTTGATGAGAACACAACCAATTTGTGAAAATAAAGTCTGTTTAGTTCTGTAAAGTATGATGAAAAAATATAAGTGAATAGATGAATTATTATAAAATTCACTTTTAAATATCCTTTAACGATCGTACCCAAAAGTGATGAAAGTGAGTACTCCTCAAGTGTATTAATGAGAACTTCAGTCAATCCAAGGATGGATAGTGAAAGTTTTATACAAGATGTATTCACCCTATTTCGTGTAAAGTGATGAAGGACTGGTGGTAGAATTTTCCCACAATGATATTAGTTGAGCTGACGTTTCCATTCAATTTCACATAACCTTGCTTTCCCAAAAGTTGTTCTCATCCCGGCTGAAGTGGACTGCAGTTTCGACCTCGCATCGGTCTTAGCAACACCTTCAGTTAGAGTCAAAACTGCAGTCCACTTTTATCTGGATGAGAACAACTTTTGGGAAAGCAAGGCTATGTGAAATTCAATGAAAATGTCAGCTAAACTCATATCATTGTGGGAAAATTCTACCACCAGTCTTTAATCAGCTTAGACGAAATAGGGTGAATGCATCTCATATTACTGATTTACTGGTAGTCTCGAAACTCTACTTTAATACGAAAATAAGTTTCATACAATCAAGGGATCAGTTGTCTTACAATGACGTTAAAATAAAAATAATCTCGCCTCCCAAAAGATTTCCCTATCCGGATGGCGCTGCCATCTTCACTCTGGCCGGATCCCATCCGGCCCCAGAACGATTGAGATTCAGGTCTTGTGCGTCAAGTGAACACATGATACCATTCCGCCTCACATTTTTTTCCCGAATGATATGTATTGTGAGTTTTGATGAGGCCTTGGATTGCGATTAAATTAGAATTAATGCTGAAAAAAATGTCAATCACAATTGACACAATTGGTCGAGTGAAATACATGTACCAGGGAGATGGCAGACGGATTCGACGGGGCAAGAGGGAGACTGTGATAGGACCCAGGCAAGGACTACGTAACCATATGACAGACTCTGGTCAACATTCCCATCACAAGGGCGAAGGGGGTGATAACGACAGTGTGGAGTGTGAAGGGTTTTCATGAATGCCACTCGAAGGAGCACACCAGACTGCATTAAAACTAGGCACGGTAACAATTGTGACAGTTAAG